GTATGAGTGTATTGTTGATGTTTAGGTCACTGTATGTTGTTGTATGAGTGTATTGTTGGATGTTTAGGTCACTGTATGTTGTTGTATGAGTGTATTGTTGGATGTTTAGGCACTGTATGTTGTTGTATGAGTGTATTGTTGATGTTTAGATCACTGTATGTTGTTGTATGAGTGTATTGTTGGATGTTTAGGTCACTGTATGTTGTGTATGGTGTATTGTTGGATGTTTAGGTCACTGTATGTTGTTGTATGAGTGTATTGTTGGATGTTTAGGTCACTGTATGTTGTATGAGTGTATTGTTGGATGTTTAGATCACTGTATGTTGTTGTATGAGTGTATTGTTGGATGTTTAGATCACTGTATGTTGTTGTGAGTGTATTGTTGGATGTTTAGGTCACTGTATGTTGTTGTATGAGTGTATTGTTGGATGTTTAGATCACTGTATGTTGTATGAGTGTAGTTGGTGTTTAGATCACTGTATGTTGTTGTATGAGTGTATTGTTGGATGTTTAGATCACTGTATGTTGTTGTATGAGTGTATTGTGATGTTTAGGTCACTGTATGTTGTTGTATGAGTGTATTGTTGGATGTTTAGGTCACTGTATGTTGTTGTATGAGGTATTGTTGGATGTTTAGGTCACTGTATGTTGTTGTATGAGTGTATTGTTGGATGTTTAGGTCACTGTTGTTGTATGAGTGTATTGTTGGATGTTTAGATCACTGTATGTTGTTGTATGAGTGTATTGTTGATGTTTAGATCACTGTATGTTGTATGAGTGTATTGTTGGATGTTTAGATCACTGTATGTTGTTGTATGAGTGTATTGTTGGATGTTTAGATCACTGTATGTTGTTGTATGAGTGTATTGTAATCAATCGTGGTGTTAGTATGGTGGTGGAAGGGGGCCCAACAGACCAGCCGGTGTTAGTGTGGTGGTGGAAGGGGCCCAACAGACCAGTGTGGTTGTGGAAGGGGGCCCAACAGACCAGCCGGTGGAGGTGGTTGTGGAAGGGCCCAACAGACCAGCCGGTGTTAGTGTGGTGGTGGAGGGGCCAACAGACCAGCCGGTGTTAGTGTGGTGGTAGAAGGGCCCAACAGACCAGCCGGTGGAGGTTGTGAAGGGGCCCAACAGACCAGCCGGTGAGGTGGTGGTGGGGGCCCAACAGACCAGCCGGTGTTAGTGTGGTGGTGGAAGGGGGCCCAACAGACCAGCCGGTGTTAGTGTGTGGTGTGGAGGGGCCCAACAGACCAGCCGGTGTTAGTGTGGTTGTGGGAAGGGCCCAACAGACCAGCCGGTGTGAGTGTGGTTGTGAAGGGCCCAACAGACCAGCCGGTGTTAGTGTGGTGGTGGAAGGGGCCCAACAGACCAGCCGGTGTTAGTGTGGTTGTGGAAGGGCCCAACAGACCAGCCGGTGTTAGTGTGGTTGTGAAGGGGCCCAACAGACCAGCCGGTGTTAGTGTGGTTGTGAAGGGGCCCAACAGACCAGCCGGTGTGAGTGTGGTTGTGAAGGGGCCCAACAGACCAGCCGGTGTTAGGTGGGTGGTGGAAGGGGCCCAACAGACCAGCCGGTGTTAGTGTGGTGGTGGAAGGGCGCCCAACAGACCAGCCGGTGTGTGTGGTGGTTGAGAAGGGGCCCAACAGACCAGCCGGTGTGTGTGTGGGTGTGAAGGGGCCCAACAGACCAGCCGGTGTTAGTGTGGTGGTGAAGGGGGCCCAATAGACCAGCCGGTGTTAGGTGTGGTTGTGAAAGGGGCCCAACAGACCAGCCGGTGTTAGTGTGGTTGTGAAGGGGGCCCAACAGACCAGCCGGTGTGAGTGTGTGGGGAAGGGGCCCAACAGACCAGCCGGTGTTAGTGTGGTTGTGGAAGGGCCCAACAGACCAGCCGGTGTGAGTGTGGTTTTGGAAGGGGTTCAGCAGACCAGCCGGTGTTAGTGTGGTGGTGGAAGGGGCCCAACAGACCAGCCGGTGTGGTTGTGGAAGGGGCAGACCAGCCGGTGTGGTTGTGGAAGGGGGCCCAGCAGACCAGCCGGTGTGGTTGGAAGGGGACCAACAGACCAGCCGGTGTGGTTGTGGAGAGGGGCCCAGACCAACTGCATCATTGCAGGGGTACAACCCTCATCCTGGGGGAGGGTGTAGATGAAGCCATGGTGATAATCAGAGAGATGAGAAGGTGTGTGGGGGTGTGTGGGTGGGGTGTGGGTTGTGTGGTGGGGTGTGTGGGTGGGGGTGTGGGGTTGTGTGGTGGGGGTGTGGGGTGGGGGTGTGGGGTGTGTGTGTGTGTGTTGGTGTGTGGGTGTGTGGGTGTGTGTGTGTGGGGGTGTGTGGGTGGGGGTGTGGGGTTGTGTGGTGGGGGGGTGTGTGGGTGGGGTGTGGGGTTGTGTGGTGGGGGGGTGTGGGTGGGGTGTGGGAGTGTGTGGTGTGTGTGTTGGTGTGTGTGTGGGTGTGTGTGTGGGGTGTGTGTGGGGGTGTGTGTGTGTGGTGTGTGTGTGGGGGTGTGGGGGTGTGTGGGGTGTGTGTGTGGTGTGTGTGTTGGTGTGTGTGGGTGTGTGTGTGTGGGGTGTGTGGGGTGTGGGTGTGTGTGGGGGTGTGGGGTGTGTGTGTGGGGGTGTGGGGTGTGGGTGTGTGTGTTGGTGTGTGTGTGGGGGTGTGTGTGGGGTGTGTGTGGGGGTGTGTGTGTGTTGGTGTGTGTGTGTGTGTGTGTGTGTGGGGGTGTGTGTGGGGTGTGTGTGGGGTGTGTGTGGGGTGTGTGTGTGGGTGTGTGTGTTGGTGTGTGTGTGGGGTGTGTGTGTGGGGTGTGTGGGGGGTGTGTGGGGTGTGGGTGTGTGTGTGTGGGTGTGTGTGTTGGTGTGTGGGGGTGTGTGGGGTGTGTGTGTGTGGTGTGTGTGTTGGTGTGTGTGTGTGGGGTGTGTGTGTGGGGTGTGTGTGGGGTGTGGGTGTGTGTGTGGTTGTGTGTGTTGGTGTGTGTGTGGGTGTGTGTTTGTGTGTGTGTGGGGGGTGTGTGTGTGGGGTGTGTGTGGGGTGTGTGTGCATAACAATATAAATATATAGATGACTCAACTCCTCCACCAGAGGCGACTGGTCATCCTCCTCTCCTCTCTCCCCTCACACTGGGTGTAAGTACTTGACGTAGGGTTGCAACACTCAATATTTCTCCTATGCCTCCTCCGCCTACTCCTCAACCTACTAACCACTAGCCTCCCACCCCACCACACCCCCACCCACCACCCCACCCACCCTAACCCCACCCCACACCCCTAACCCCACCCCACCCCACCTACCCCCACCCACCCCACCCCCCCCCACCCCCACCCACACACAATTGGAGTAAATATTAATGTGTTGACTAATGGTACACTCTCTAACCAACCGCTAGACTCGCCTCCAGTACTACACTACCGGTTCATCGAGCAGACCATCAGCCCAACCCTCCGTCTCCCTCAAGTGCTCGGCTGTTGGTAACCCCACCCCTTCTATTACCTGGTCACTGGACGGCTTGCCCATACCCCAGTGACAGGTGAGTGACCATCCCAGGTGACAGGTGAGCCATACACCAGAGTGACAGGTGGTGAACATACCTCAGAGTGACAGGTGGGTGAACATACCTCAGAGTGACAGGTGGTGACTATACCCCAGAGTGACAGGTGAGTGCATACACCAGAGTGACAGGTGGGTGAACATACCTCAGAGTGACAGGGGAGTGACCATACCTCAAGAGTGAGTGAGCGACATACCCAAGTGACAGGTGGTGACCACACCCCAGGTGACAGGTGGTGACCATACACCAGAGTGACAGGTGGGTAAACATACCTCAGAGTGACAGGTGGGTGAACATACCTCGAGTGACAGGTGAGACCATACCCCAGAGTGGGCAAGCCATACCTCAGAGTGACAGGTGGTGAACATACCTCCAGGTGACAGTGCAGTGCCTCAAGTGACAGGTGGTGACCATACCTCAGAGTGACAGTGGTGACCATACCTCAGAGTGACAGGTGAGTTACCATACCCCAGAGTGACAGGTGGTGGCCATACCAGAGGTGAGTGACCATACCCCCAGGTGACAGGTGAGTGCATACCCCAGAGTGACAGGTGGTGACCATACCTCAGAGTGACAGGTGAGCGACATACCCCAGAGTGACAGGTGAGTTACCATACCTCAGGTGACAGGTGGTGACCCACCAGTGACAGGTGGTGACCATACCTCAGGTGACAGGTGGTGACCATACCAGGTGACAGGTGGTGACCCTACCCCAGGTGACAGGTGAGTGACCATACAGAGTGACCATACCCCAGAGTGAGTAGGTGAACATACCTCAGGGTGACAGGTGGTGACCATACCAGGTGACAGGTGGTGACCATACCTCAGAGTGACAAGTGAGTGACCATACCTCAAGTGACAGGTGGTGACCATACCTCAGAGCGACGGATGGTGACCATACCCAGAGTGACAGGTGGGTGACCACTCCTGAGTTACAGGTGGTGACCACCTGTGACGGATGATGCACCCCAAGTGACAGGCGAGTAATACCCCAAGTGACAGGTGGTGACCATCACCAGAGTGACAAGTGACCATATCCCCCCCAGAGTGACAGGTGAGTGACCTTGCATTAGAGTGAAAGATGGTGACCATGCCTCAGAGTGACAGGTGAGTGACCATACCTCAGAGTGACAGGTGTGACCATACCCCAGAGTGACAGGTGAGTGACCATACCCCAGGTGACAGGTGAGTGACCATACCCCAGGTGACCATACCCCAGAGTGACAGGTGGTGACCATACCTCAGAGTGACAGGTGAGTGACCATACCTCAGAGTGACAGGTGGGTGACCATACCTCAGAGTTACAGGTGAGTGACCATACCTCAGTGACAGATGGTGACTTACCCCAAGTGACAGATATACCCCAGAGTGACAGGTGGTGACCATACCCCCAGGTGACAGGCGAGTGACCATCCAGAGTGACAGGTGAGTGACCTTGCATTAGAGTGAAAGATGAGTGACCATGCCTCAGGGTGACAGGTGAGTGACCATACCTCAGGTGACAGGTGTGACCATACCCCAGGTGACAGGTGAGTGACCATACCCCAGGTGACAGGTGGTGACCATACCTCAGGTGACAGGTGAGTGACCATACCTCAGGCGACGGATGGTGACCATACCCCCAGGTGACAGGCGGTGACCATACCCCAGAGTGACAGGTGGTGACCATACCTCAGAGTGACAGGTGTGACTACCCCAGAGTGACAGGTGAGGTATACCCAGAGTGACAGATGGTGACCATACCCCAGGTGACAGGCAGTGTCCCAGAGTGACAGGTGAGTGACCATACCCCATGTAGTGGTGTGAGAGAAAATTGTATACCTCAGGTGTAAGTGAAGTGTATGTGTCACCCTGAGTTGTGTTGAATACGTGGGTGTCAATCAGAGGTGTACAACAGGTGTTTCCTCCCTTAGGGTAGTCGTGGGGGAGCAGATGGGTGCCCGGGGTAAGGTGGTCGGGCATGTCAACGTCTCCCATACCCGGGTCGAGGACGGAGGGCGCTATCAGTGTGTGGCATCCAATAGGGCCGGGTCTACCTCCCACGCTGCCAACCTGAACGTATACGGTAAGTGTGTGTGTGTGTGTGTGTGTGTGTGTGTGTGTGTGTGTGTGTGTGTGTTGCTAAAGGGCACATCCAACATTACATTTGATAAAGTTGAACATCCTAACTTAACCTAACTTAACCTAACTTTAACCTAACCTAACTTTAACCAAACTCTACTTTAACTTAACCAGTCTTAACCTAATCTAATTCCCTCACATGAAGTCAGATCACCTTGTACACATAATAATCGTGGTTGTGTTTCAGGGTTCCCCCTCACCCGCCCTCTGGCCTCCGTCACGGCGGTGGCTGACGAAGAGCTACAGTTAAGGTGCCCTGTGGCCGGCTACCCCATCCACTCTTACACTTGGATCAAGGGTGAGTACACATCTGCCTGTCTTATTACACACCTGTTACATATCTGCCTCTCATTATACACCTGTTTGTTACACACCTGCCCCCTCATTATACACCTGTTACACATTTGCCCCTCATTATATACCTGTTTGTTACACACCTGCCCCCCTCATTATACACCTGTTACACATTTGCCCCTCATTATACACCTGTTTGTTACACACCTGCCCCTATTATACACCTGTTACACATTTGCCCCTCATTATACACCTGTTTGTTACACACCTGCCCCCTCATTATACACCTGTTACACATTTGCCCTCATTATACACCTGTTTGTTACACACCTACCATTATGGCCACACCTGTTACACATTTGCCCCTCTCTATTATATACCTGTTTGTTACACACCTGCCCTCTCATATACACCTGCTACATCTGACCTCTATTATACACCTGTTTGTTACACACCTGCCCCCCTCATTTACACCTGTTACACAATTGCCCCTCATTATATACCTGTTTGTTACACACCTGACTCTCTCATTATACACCTGCTACACATCTGCCTCTCTTATTATACACCTGTTTGTTACACACCTGCCTCTCTCATTATACACCTGTCTGTTACACACCTGCCCCTCTCATTACACACCTTCAGGGCCACAGAACAATACACAGGGCCACACTAAT